AGGCCATATACATTGTAAATTCACCCTGACATTGCAACTTTGTTAGGTTAATGAAGTTACAGGTTAGAGTCAGATAACCCGCACATTAAACAAGGAGTTACAGGAAAAGCAAATCTTAAAAGAACACATTGCTTATTTTGCTTCTACAACTACCTTAACATTCAATCTATTAAGTTACCTAAAACTTTCCCCTATCACCAGCACATTGAGAGAGAACGAGTACTCTGTGGTGGTCGGTGGTCGGTTCCCCTCGCACACGCTGACGTCTTCCCCGGGCTTTGTCTTCCGGCTTCCATGAGCTCTGGTGAAAGATCAATGACCATTTTTATTGTTCCATCTCTTTTCCACAGCCACGTTTTAAGGTTTTCTCTTCTTTTTTTATTTTCAGCAGTTTGACGGTTGTGTACCTTTGAGTGGGTTTTTTGTTTTGCTTTTCTGGTGTTGTTTTTATTTTTGTATTTTTCCTGCCTATGAGTTCCTTGAACTCCTAGGCTCAGAGAATGTCCCTGGCCCTGAGCCTCGGCCCTACTTCCACCACCAAGACATAGGTGGCTTTTTGTGCCCATACCCCACAGCAATGGCATTTCTGCCTTGGGGCCAGCAAATGAGGACCGAAATTGTGAGCCAAAACAAACCTCTCCTCCTTTTTTTTTTTTTTGCGTACTGGGGATCAAACTCAGGACCTTGCGCTTGTGAGGCAGGCAGGGGCACCACTGAGCTACATCCCTGGCCCTAAACCTCTCTTCTGTAAATTGTGGGTGTCAGATATTTTGTCTCAGTAACAGAAAAGTATCCTTTTCCTTTTATTGTTTCATTTTCTTTAGTGAACTTTTCCACTAAAGGAATATTTGTTTCAGCCAACATGCTAATATTTCTTTAAATCCTTATGTATATTTATAACAGTTATTTGAAACTTTTTGTCTGATCATTCTAACATCTTGGGTGTCTATGAGTCAATTTCTGTTGTTTTGTTTTAACCTGGTTATGGGTCGCATTTTTCAGTTTTGTTTTCATGTTTAGCAATTTTATGTTTTGCGCTGGACTTTATGTTGCTCATTTTTTTAGGATCTTCCCTTGAAGAATGTTGTGTTTTGTTCTAGCGGAGGGTAATTTGCTAGCGGATGAGCGTGATTCTTCCCAGGTCTCTCGTAGGGCTCGCTTAGGAGGGCTCTGGTGGCACAGCGGAGGGCGAGCGTGGCCCTCCCCAGTGCATGGCTTTTCTGGGTCCCAGCTCAGCCTACTCAGTGAAGTGTTCGGATTCTGGATTAATAGAAACTCTCATACCTCCCGGTGCTGTGAGGACAGAGCTCTGCTCTGCCAGGCCTGTGGGGCTCATGCTGCACCAGGGTAAACCTCTCGGGTTTGGCTGCAGGTGCTGTGGATGTCTGCAGGTCCTTTTCTCCACATCTCTGTGCTCTGCCTAGTCCCACCTCACTGCAGCATCGGAAACACCTTCAGGCAGAGAGCTGGGAGGAGCCAGGCGTGGTGGTGCTCACCTGTCATCCCAGCACTCGGGAGGCTGAGGCAGGGGGATCGCTGTGAGTTTGAGGCCAGCCTCGGCTACACAGTGAGGTCATGACAGGCCTGAACTATGTGGCAAGACCCTGTCTCAAAAAAAAGCGAGGGAGTCCATCGAATTCACTTTGTGTTTCCTTCCTGTGGGATTCACAGTCTTGCTCAACGGTCACTTCATGTCATTTGTACAGTTTTATAGCTGTTTGCTGTGAGAAGGTCATAATGTAGCGTTCCCAATACCATTTTACAGAGTGTCTCTGATTTGCTGGCCACGTGGTTTGCTCTAGGTGATGTTGAAGGACAGTGGCTATGTGTGCAGCTGTGGGTTACATCCCAGCTCTGTGTATGAGAGAAACTCAAAGGACAGAGAAGTTAAAGGTAAAAGAGAAGACAGATAAGGGAGACAGATCTTTTGCAAACAGGAAGAGGACCAAGAGAGGGGAAGAAGGGAGGGAGGGGGAGGGGACACAAAAAGAATTAAGATGCGTCGTGTGCCTGTGCCAATCCTGTGAGCAATGTGATCATTGCGTGCGGCAACGTGTACTAATGCAAATAAAAATAACATCACACAGCAAAAAAATTCTAGCTCTGCCACTCACTGGGTGTGGGCCTTGGGGAAGTTACCGGTGATTTTCTTCACTTATGAGATGGCACGGACCGATGACAAGCCTTCCGTGAGTTGTTCATGAAGCACACCTATGTGTGGAAAGCTTAGGCATTCCTGGAGCATGGAGCCTACTCAGAACCCCAGCGACTGTCATCCAGCGTTCTTGCTTTTACAAATGACTCAACAGCATACATCCTGGAACTTATTTATTTGTATTCTTTTTTTTTTTTTTGGTACTGGGGATTGAACTCGGGACCTTGTGCTTTCGAGGCATGTGGTGGAACCACTGAGCTAAACCCGCAGCCCTCAAATGTTCTTTTTCATGTGTGTGTGTGCACACATGCATGTGCGCGCGCCACTGAAAGGTCAAAGTTTTAATGCTTTATTGCTACTTTCAAACCCAATTATTTTATGGCCACAGGCAAGGTAAATTATTCCCTTTTTCTAGACAGATAGATTCACTGCACTTTATGCTCTATGGTTTACACTACAATAATTTCCTTGGCAGATGACCTGGAAGAAAGAAAACTCCAAGAAACAGATTTCCAAAGAGGAAGCTGCTCCCAGGCTCCTATTCTTGAGCCTTCTCCATGTGTTCCAGGAAGAAAGACTGGGAGAATGAGCACTCTGTTCAAAGCAAGGAAATAAAAGTCAGTAGCTGAAACCATAAGTTCCCTTTCACCCTCCTTCTGGAGCTCAGCTTCCTGCTGTGTATCTCCCACCCTGAACCCTAAGCTGGCCTCAGAGTACATGGATAAGCCAGAGATAAAACTGAAAGGGGCAAAAATCCTGGAACTTTACTTGGGAGCAGAGGTTGAGATAGACAGCCCTGGAAGGGGCTGGAGGCCTGGTTTAAGCCAAAAGAACAGCCATGCACAGCTGTCCTTCAGGGCCGAGTCCCTGGCGCTCCCGGGACGCCAAGGCCAGCTGGCGGCAGAGCCCAGAGGAGACAGCAGAGCCAGGCAAGTGCAATGGGGTAAATTTTATTTTACACGCGGTGGAAAAGCAAAGACACGTTATGAGCAGGGAGCAGATGTGAGCTTCCACCTTGGGTCGCTCCAGCTGCTCTGTGGAGACAGCAGAAGAGGAAGCTCGTGGGGATAAGGAGTGTGTGGGTTCGGTTCTCTGGCGGAGCAGAATCTGTCCAGGAGGCTGCTGCGGATCAGGCGGTGCTGGCAGCTTCAGTGGCAGGAGGAGGTGACGTGTGTTCCAGAGGTGGAACTGGCAGGCCTTCATAATCCATCTCCCGGAGTCAGGTTTAAAAAGTGGCCCTGGGCCGGCACGGTGGCACCTGCCCACGCTCCAGCACCTTGGCGGAGTGTGCGGACACAAAAGGCTCACGCAGCCTGCGAACTGGAGACCAGCCTGGGCAGCAGCAGCATGACCCTGCCAGCCTCCGCGAAGAGGAGACCCTCCAGGTCTCCGGCCCATTCTGCTGATGGAACGGAGCATCGGCAGCAGTAGGGAGAGGACAGGAGGAAAGCAGGCCTGGGAGGCGAAGGGGGTGCAAATGTCAGGCTGGGGTGTGAGGCTGGATGTGGTGGGGGAGGAAGGGAAGATGCATGTTCTCACCACGCTGCTCACCTGCGAGACAGCGAACACAGGGAGGCGCAAAGAGGAGCCTGTGCCACGGGACTCGAGGTCAGCAACCACCTGGAAGGAAGCAGCCCCACGGGCCCCGTGGGGCTGCACACGTCCTGTCACCCAGCAGCAGTGTGGTGCAGCACACTCCTGAGCCGCTGGTGGGGACGCTGTGGACACAAACCCCCCGCTGCCAGTCACAGGGGCAGCACGTGTGAGCTCTGCAGGGTCCGTGGTCCCCATTAGCCGTGTGGCACTGCCCTAGTTCTCGCCACACTTCCCACACAGGGTTTTGGAGCATGCCCATGCACTGGTGGAAAGCCCACCGCAAGCTCTTGGGCCTCTTGCATCCACCCTGCCCCTGGACAGCACTGAGGGCCACTGGAGGGCTGACTCTACCCCCACACTGAGTAGGTACCCTTGATGACGTTTGCCCAGCAGTGAAATTGCCTAATGACATGAGTTCGGAAACGTCCTTGTTGTTAGGAAGGTGTAATTGCACACACACACACACACACACACACAC